AAAAAAAAAAATCAAAATATTCCCTTCTCATCCACAGCATAAGATTTTGATCACTGTCCTTTTTCCTAAGCTGCCACTCCCCTTCCCCAGAAGAATAAAGAAATCTGTAATAGTTGAGAAAAAATTACACTTTACTGTTTATTCTGTGACATTAATGAAGCCAAAGAGATGACATTTCAGGCTTTCTGGAAAGCCAAACTTGTAATAGCTTTATATTTATAATCTATCAGGATAGATCTTTCAGATTTTCTCAAAGACCTTAAAATTTTAGTTTATTTATTTCATTTTATCATGAAATCTGTCAAGCATGGAAATAAAAAGAGTCTTTCTAGAAGATTTTGTTTTTACGTTCTCAAGAATTCAGGAGAATAGGAGGGAGGGGGAGGGGTACATAGGAGGCATCAAACATCAAGCCCAGTTCAGCTCCTCCCATAACCCGGCATTTAAAACCCTTGGTACATCTAAATTGGCATATTTTTTTTTGTTTTTAATTTTATATCATGTGTAGTGTTCCAAAAGTTAAAAAAAGAAATGTAGTTAATTTTGATTAAGATCTATATTAACAAATTGTTATTGAACTTATGGCCTGATTAGGTAGTAAACCAGATGTACATATATCCAATGATAAATAATACACTGTATAGTTTTCTTCTAACAATAAAAACACTGTAAAAATGAAAACTCCAATTATATGAAATATACTGAAAGGAAAAAGAAATACATAAGAAAATGATATGCGAAAAAATTTTGACTATGTGGCCAATAATTATGAAAATTGGTTAGATGTGTATTTTGGTTCTTTTGCACTAAAATCGCTGGTCAAAACTACTCAACCATAAAATGTATGGCGTCACCTAGGGAAGAGTTAAAAAGTCAAAAACACGTAAATGATGCATGATGGTAGTGTTGTGATCACATTTTGTAGTGCCATACGATGCATTAGAGTTATAGACATTTTTTTGTGCATATTTGCAGTCAGTATAAATTTCTTGCAATCATGGTATAGCTGACAGAAGTTACATTGGATCTAGTAATTGAATTCAATATTGCAAAGTAAATAAAAAGGCAACAACATGTTGCTGTGCAGATTGATTTCAACTTTCCAACCCCAAAAAAGTTTCTTTTGGTTGTCAGAGAGTTAAGTTAAAAGGTTTCCACCCAACAGTGACGGTGACGTTGGCGCGCAACAACGACACATCAAGATAGGGCTTTTCATCATGCCACCTCGGTTATTGCCAAGGCATTATATATATCACTGAAACCGTAATTTATACAGCAGAAAACCATACTCATTTTTTCACCCTAATATTGACAAATATTGACAGCTTGTCAGAAAATTAAAAGAATGACAACAGTAACACAAGTAAGCGTTGTGGCTCATGAGCCTCTTATTAAAACAGTGCATATAATCTATTCCTTTCTTCAATTGTTAACGTTCATATTGAATTTCCCACACCCTTAATCTTATATTGCATGTTGAGGTTTCGTGATTTAACCGATTTATTTACCAATTCCACATTTTAATAACAGACAGATTTTAAAGCTAATTTGACTATTAAAACGTGAAGTTATTCAAGTTCAAAATCGCTGCTAATTGTCATTTGAATGTAAATAACATGTATCACGTATATTTTCACACATGCAATCGCGTATTCATTTTTTATAGCTCAGAAAAGCCATATATAGCTTCAAGATTCATTTTCTGTTTTTAATATATTTTTTTAATTCAGAGTATTACTGTTATTTGATCCGCATACAGTCAATAAAAAGGTGTAGAAATATAGAAGTACATGTAAACAGCAGCTAATTAAAAATAACTTGTGGATATGTACCATACATTTGTTAAAGGGCAAACTCTATACAATTGTAGATAGAAGTACCTGTGTACTTGTGTGTTACATGTATCCATGCGACGAACGGAGTGGATATTCAATCTTTAATAATATCTGTTTTTCTGCAGCGGAATCTGTTTTCATTATTTTTACAGAATGTTTCCAATAAAGTACAAGGCAGAGCAAGGTAAAAATATATCTAGAAAAAATTTAATAACAAATTACATGTACGAGGAGGGATGGTATAATTATATCCTTACAAGATGCACAGAAGTTACTGCTAGCTAGTGTAATGCTCAATACTACGAATTATAATCATTTTTAGAGAGGAACAATCATTAATCATTAACTAGAGCCGAGCTCGTTGCAAAGCAACGAGTAGGTCTTCCGTCCTGTTTGACCGGAAGTAACTTTTATTTGAAAAAAAAGAGTAATGAAGTCGAAAAATGGTTTAATCCTCCAAATCTATGTTCATTTTTTCAAAATCAATCCATTTTTGGCAACTTCCTGTTTGACCGGAAGTACTGTCAACGGCCGGAAAATTAAGATTTAAGCTTCCAGTGACATATGATATCCAAAAACCTGTCAAGAACAACAAAATATGCAATTTTTGACTACTTCCGGTTTGACCGGAAGTGACGTCCCCGGACTTATTTTGACAACCTCATTAGATAAACCTTGACATTTTGAACAACTTTGCTTTTTGACGTATTATAAATTCTCAATACTTTTTGAGATATTAAACAAAAGATTTCAAGGGCCCTAGATCCCTAATTTTAGGGGCCAGCCCCTTTTTAATGATATCAAATGAAAGCGCTTGTAATTATGCACAACTTTTATTCAACATTTCTTGACAAAATATTTTTAGTTTTCAAGATAAAAAGGAAAATATCTGAAAATTTTCGCTCTTTTAGGCGTTCTAATTTTTGACCCCTATATAGCGCCATTTTGAATGCAGAAATCGAAAAACAAAAACCGATGTGCACAACTTCAATCCTTCTGTTATCTAAAACAAGTAAAATTTCTGCTCCAGCTTTTGTGGTCTTTGAGCCTTTATCCGGAAATGAAAGCCTATGATTTTTCGTTTAAAGGGGAATAACTCAAAACCGGAAGTGACTTTTTAAAATTTTAGTCATTATTCTGATAGAGTTTATAAACGTCTATAACCTCTGAAAATTTGAGCGAAATCCGTTGAGAAATGAGTGAGATTTGAGGCCTCAAAGTTGGCGTCTAGGAAGTAGAAGAAAAAAAAATAATAATCTTTACCAACAGAATCAGTAGAAGGTCTTCCGTTGGAAACGGAAGACCTTAATTAACAAATAATGTTTTTGTGTACACACGGGACCTCAAATTACAATATCCTAGCTTTTCTGTATTGATTAGCTCACAAGAAATGGGCTGATATATACACCGTATATAATACTGACAGACGCCTCACAGGGGAAATTCAAAACTTTTTATCAATAAAATGTAACTTTTTTACATTGTTTTGCTGATTTTACTAGTGCATCATAAATCGGATTGCATTGAAACAAAGTTAAATCTATTTAAGAATGTTTCAATATGGTTAAAATCCAAAAAGAAACTTATTTTGTTCTAGCAGCAGTCCTTATTAGTATCAGTTGAGATATGATCCTTGAAAGAAAGAATTTTACAAATGCGATAGCGATCTCTTTCAAACCACCAGTAGCACTCTGCGTTTCCACACAAAGTTTGGTACAGGGTGATCCAAAATATCTTATACCATTTCAAACAATAATAATTTTGTCAAATATTATAACACTCTTAATCTAAATATTTCAAATTTTAACATAAGATATGATATTTTATACAATACATGCCTCTATTTTTTTATGCATTCTTTGAATTAATAATTCAGTCTCAAAACAATGCTTTTATTTATTTACTACACATGCTCTACGTGACGTCAATTTTTTTTATTCACGAGTTCGTCTTTTTTTAAAGTTATTGATAAAATTTTAACATATATATCCTGTGTAATTTTTTTGTCTAATTAACTGGGTTAATTGCTGATTTAAGATCCTTCAGAGTGTTTGGCTTTAGAGTACCCACTTTTTGTATGAAAACCCCCCACAGGAGAAAGTCCACAGGACTTAAATGAGAGGAAAGTATGGTCAAACACAGTCTGTCCTGAACAAAATCAGTTCCTTACCGAATTTTTTCTGTAACCACCAAAGAACTTGTCCTGATGAGAATTTGGGGGGGGGGGTTAAATATCAGCAGCATGAATACCTCGCCTGTGAGAGCTGGAATGAATTTGTTAATCATAAAGTGCAAGTAATGGTCACTGTTTACACTTTTAGCCTATTCAACAACTGGGCAGATAAAACATTTCTGGTTGTCCGAAGCCTTCCATTGTTTGTAAACGGGCATCTTCTACTGAACCAGTCTTTTGAAATCGTTTTATTTACCTGAGTACTGCAGATTATTTTTTTTTAGCTTAATTAGTGTCCGATGAAAGTCTTTTTCTCATAATACGAATCTCTGTTATGGGTGAATGTGTCTCAAAATATAATTGGGCAATTTTTGCAACTCTCTGATTTGATCTATCCATGTTAAATAAACAGTAACAAATTTATGACGTCATGACATCAAGATAACATCAATTTTTTCCTGTACTTACATATTTATAAAAATGATAGGTATAGCAGTTTAAAATGATGTATAAATGATTATTGACAAAGTTATTGAAAGTCGAAATAGGATAAGATATGTTGGATCACCCTGTAGAAATAGCATATAGCTACATATAACTATAGCGGAAGTTTGAGGTTTTTAATTTCTAGTACATGTGTACTCTATTTCTCTTTAAATTGGTTAAGTAGCTTTACGATGAAGCATGTTCAGTTTCCAAATCTGGCAGCTTTCTTGATGCCCCTTCCTATACGTGTAATGAAAATAAATGACGTCACTTCCGTAACTATTGTCTTTCAGTAACGACACATCTATTATCTATTGTATTTCAGTAAAGACATGTCGGTAACAGATGTTTTTTTTCCTCAAGACACGTCGGTTTACTGCTGTCTTTCGGTAAAGGCATATTGTTTTCTGTTGTCTTATGCTTAAGAAGATTGTGATCTTTCTGCCCAGAAAGTAAATGTAAATGAAAATTTTACGTTTTAGAGTTTATATGGGATAATTGAATCATCAGCGGTGATGTGGTATTTGTTTCATACATAATTAAATTTGATTACAAAAATATATATGTCGTACAAAAATTACAATTATACGTTGAACAACAAATATAAGTTAATTAAATACAAGAATTACTAGTATTACTTTTAGAAAAAAAAGTTTTATATTGTAGTGACAGTCTCGACTAAAGAACTATATGACACTGAAGACAGGCAAACAGACAGAGTTCCAGTGACAGATATGACTAAATAGTCCTATAAGTACCCTATATCGTTCAAGACATGACTACACAGTCCGCTATATGGTTACTATAACCGTCTAGTTTCCAAAGGCCTCGTTGATCATGTCCTCTTTGCTCGCGTCGTCTTCTGTGATAAACTGGGTCCAAGCATCCGCTATATGTTGCACAGTGGGTTTCCCCTTTTTAGCCTTGAACAGCTGGAAAGCCTTGCCTACTTGCACCGAATCTTCTTGACCAAAAACTTTAAATGAGGAAACGAATTCCTGCTCCTCGATAGGCCGATCTTTATTTTCTGCTACAAAGGAGGCGATGTCGTCAAAACACCTCACCATTTCTTGATAGAATGCTGATTTGTCCTTTTGAAATGATTCTCCTAGGGCGTCCTGGAATTCTTCGAGTGTCAAAGTTACACCGGGACCTTTACGAAAGATGTAAGTATTCCACCATTTTGTGTTGTCATATCCGCCATTGTCTTTGACTTTGTCGCTAAGCATATTCTTTATATCTCCAAACTTTTTGGAAGAAATCTCCATGTCCTCTGTGGAAACTTTATTGTCATGATTGGCATCTAAGGATTTAAACCATATAGCCCATTTTGATTTCAGATAGTCCATTGTTACTGAAAAATAAAAAGCACAGGCGATTATAGGACTATACATGTAGGTTAAAATTACTAGTGTTAGATTTATAATACTAGATATATAGTACAAATCATTTTGATTCTAAATACTCCATTTCCATTTGAAATACGAACATGGACGATAAAAGTACAAGGTAATATGTACTAAATTATATTAATGTATAATACTATTATTGTGAATATGCATCGTAAACATTTTGAGTGTCGGCTAATTTAAATGCTTATGTTTTATACCAACAATTAAAATGGATTCACCATACGATTGGAAGAGAAAAGGGGAGGGGGTAACTATACATTCTGCAAACCTGCACTTATAAGAGCTTCAAAATTCGACCTTCCGCATCCTGTTATTTTGACCTTGTTGTCTATATATGATTAGTGCAGACCTTTTTATGCCCACGTGAATCGGTCTATGGTCAGAAATTATCTTCGCGCCGCAGTTGAACTCATTTGCTTTTACCTTATTGTTCTTGAGTGTTACTAGGTAATAGTTCATTATTTTACTGACAAGTACTTTTTTAGAACTTAGAACGTTAATATAGGAGGTTATGAGTACATTAATTGAAGTACTTCTCTTTTTTCCTTTTACCGACATATCACAACCAGATGGCATGTTAAGGTTCATCGGTTGAAAATCTGTGGCTTGTGTATGCACGTAATTATAACAAGGAGTCTAATATACAGATGTTTTCTTGTAAAACATTAAGAGCGCTATCTCGGTTATTATTGGCAGACTGCACTTGTAACATATCAATATGTAATTTGTAAATGGCAGGATGAATGCTTGGGTGTCTGTAGTGACGAAGTGAAAATCGTGTTATCTAAAAAAAAAAATCTAGGTCGGGGTGCTATATTTAAGATCGGCTTGGTGTAAAATGCGGAGGATGGAGTCTCCACAAAACTCCAAAATGGAGGGTCAGAGAGTGCAAGGGGTGGAGCCTCTTGTGTCAATTTTTATACATTTGCCCGTTTTATCTTTCAATCATTTTAGAAGCTGGATACAACTGGGTTACTTGTAGAGCTCTCCATCAGTGATAAAAAGTGTCTGTCAGAATTAATTACTGAGTCTAGATACTGGTATGTCCCAAAAATTTTATTGCAGATAATTATGTCATGCATAACATATCGCAGATCACTTTGTCTGCAAATTACCAACAATTAAAAAGTATATTTCATAATTGCTGTAAAAGCTACAAAAGCTTCTGTATGTGTAAACCACAAAAAGAAGATACAATTAAATTATAACTGAAAATGAAATTTAGCACAAAAAAAGATAACATGACTTTCAATCATATCAACAACAAATGAGGGGACAATTTTTTGTCATCTTTCCCTAGAAGTTTAGGTAATCTAGCCCTTAGCAATTTTAACATTTGGCCCTTCAGATATTTGAAACCTATACTAATAAAATCTGTCAAGACCTCATGGGTTACTGCGAGATAGCAGTGTGAATCAGAGAGTTTCCAATGCACTTAGCATCTGTGATATCGCAAAACAAAATTTAAATCACAAGCATGGGCTGCATGCCCCTCATTTGTTTCTCACATCTGTAGGTCATTTCGATTCTCATTTTGTTGTCTACTTATCATGATGCTTGTTTCTCATTCTTTTTAGAGCAAAAAAAATAAAATAAAATAAAAACAGTTAATGGCCAGAGTTCTCTAATAAAACAATCAGTTCATTTACTGAATCTATTATTTAATTATTTTTAATTTTTCTAAAATGGGATAATATTTCTGAGTTAATAATGACATCACGGCACATTTCCAACATCGGACAGTGTCTTCGACAGCAATCGGATTTCAGATGGTAATAGGTGTTTTGTAATGAGGCCGATATTCCTTGACACCTTTATATACATATCAGTCTATTTATATATATCTGTATATAATATCACCAAAAGATAATAATTTTGATGCTATTAATCTATCTGTTTCAGTCAGTCTCTGTTATCGTTAAAAATTATATAATCTGCAAAGCTGTTCCCCTCGTTGAAATGTGGTGTTCATTATTTTTTTTATTATTACCTTTTCCTGTTTCTTTGTTTCTCATTTTGTATTTTATGGACTTTATAAACAAATGTCATCAGATACTGCCAAATATATCACAAAATCAGGTTGGGAGATATAACTGAGTTTCATTCACTCAACTTCAATGAAATTATTTTTTTTAATTGTTTGGGTAATGTAACACTCTAACACATTCTCACGGAGTATCAGAAAATGAGATGACAGATCTAATAAGCACGTGCTTAATTTACGACAAGCACGATGCTCCACCTCCTGCATCATCTAACACAAGAGGCTCGACTCCTTGCACTCTCTGACACTCCATTTTGGAGTTTTGTGGAGACTCCATCCTCCGCATTTTACACCAAGCCTTTAAGATCTGAGTAAACAGATTCCCGTCCTTTGCAGGAATTTTTTTTTTATAAATTCAATATAGATCTGAATTTGATTTTTTAGGTAAATAATCCCGTCCCCTCTCACACACACACGCAAATAAACATATGATTAATTTCCATAGATGTGGTGCAATGTGTGTACATAATGTAAGGATGCATATTTAAGCAGAAAATAATTAGTGTAACATTTCCCAAGAACGGTACATGTATTTAAACAATGCAGTGTCTCGGCGGTACAGATATGACAGATGTGTCATATTTTATACACACACCTCGATCCTTCCGAAACATATACATAATGAAATATTTTTTTTAAATAATATGGTTTATGGCATCATTATATCGCAACATCTATTTTTATCACAAAATCTATTTTTAGTATACGGTTTTTATAGTTATTTTTAGCCTGAGGGTTCATCTGTATCTATTTTTATAAATATTTGTCCTTGTACCTCATCATTAGCCAATGAAATTGCAGATCTGTGATAACGTGGAACAGTCCAGTCCAATACGAAAATTCGTAATATTACGAAAAAACGTAAGATTACGAAAAAGCGTAATATTACAAGTTATCGTAATATAAAACTTATATTACAATTTTTCGTAATGTAGTTAAATTACGAATACGCGTTATATAGCAGATGTAAGAGACTATATTACGAGTTTTCGTAATCCAAGACAAATTCAAGCATTGCAAGAAATTGAATGGCGGGTAGCAAAGTATATGACGTTTAATACGAGATGTCACGGGCGATAACTTGTACGACACTTAATGAGATTTGAATTCTGTGTATTTCAATAAGAATTGCACGAACAGTTGAATTATGAGACGAGGGTGTGATTTTTAGGGTAGACTTCGGAAGAAAAGTAGGGAGTTCGGGTGATACAAACCAATGCGACATGCTTAAGCGAATATTGGAATTTACTGGAAAATTGGTCTTATCCTTGGGAAAATTCCTTTAAAAGAATAATAAAAGAAATTGTCCACTCACCCATCGCTGGCGGTACTTTCTTCTTGAATTTCCATGCTTTCTGATAGGCGTAACTGACCAAACTAACCGCGTGTTATCAGTAGCCGTGGAATCCAATATATTACTGACGTCATACTTTGCTACCCACCACTCAATTTCTTGCAATGCTTAAATTTGTCTTGGATTACGAGAACTCGAAATATAGTCTCTTACAATCTGCTATATTACGCGTATTCGTAATTTAACTACATAACGAAAAATTGTAAGGTAGTTTTATTTGTAATATTTGTAATAAATTGTTACCTTCGTCATTAATAAATGATAATACTCATGTCAATTCATAGGGGCTTTACATTTTTTTTCTCTCTTTGCTTTATAAAAGTCCAATTTCGTAAATTATGCTTATATCTAATTCAAAAAAAATTATATCAAATTATTAGCGGAATGTAGACTTTCTTTATTGCATGTTGAAAACATAAAATTTTATTGAGACGTACTTACCTCGATTTAGAGATATCTGCTGTATAGTACGAAGCCAACTTTTCCAATGAAAAATTTACAATATAAATCTTTTGAGTCTTGAATTAGTTTTTTACGTAGTGGAAAATCCAGCACTCCATGACCAAGCTTGTTCGAGTTAAAGAAATTATCTGATATGGTCATGATAATATGTACTCCTTTTTATAAGAATTGCTTTCGCGTCCGGTGTTTCATCTTTTAAACTTCAAGTGTCCTGTTTTCAGCGTAATCGGTATTTCTTGCACTTGAAGGCTATTTCCGAAATCTACATTTTGCAAAATAATCAAGTTGGTATTCAAATTTTCATATGTCATCTATGACATCTATACTTTCTATTTACTAATAGAAATTACACATAATTAATTTCATTAAAGTCAATGGATGATTTTTATCACACAAATCAGCCAAATTCATGCTGTCTATGGAATTTTTCTCTTCAAATAAGGATAAATACACCAAACGTTATATGAAATTTTGTCTGAAAAATCATGTATGTATAAAATAAATGTGAAATAGAATATGTCTTTGAAAAAAAAATATGAACCCCATCTTCCATTAAACTGATACAGCATTAAATATGACTGTACAAGAAATCTGAGTCATTGGTGTTACTATTATTGTTTTTGCTACAAAAGAGTTATCATTCCTGATAAGAGAATAATTGATTTTATACTGTTTAACGTCCCTCTCCAGAATCGTGGCACACCTGCTGTGACACGGGGCCTCGGTTTATACGGTCTCATCCGAAGGACCGCCCCATTTAGTCGCCTTTTACGACAAGCAAGGGGGTACTGAGGACCTATTCTAACCCGGATCCCCACGGGGCTGATAAGAGAATATAAACAGTCCTAAAGCATATAACATCACTTCTCACCAACAACAACAGAAACTGTTCCTTGATATTCATGATCGGAACATATTGATGGACCTCAGAAGTAAAGAAAGTTGACTAGTACAAACTTTTTTTGTCAGTGGTGTTTCCATCGTTATTTCAAAACAATTTTAGATATTCATTGAACTCTTTTACCAAAGATGTTCTTTAGGTGAACTAATAGCAATGTGGATAAAACTTTTACTTTATCCAGGGTAAATTAGAAATACCATATCATTTTATGACTAATACGTCACTGGTGTTACTGTCATTGGCATTACTTCCTAAAGTTTAACACCAATGACAGGAATGGTTACACCATTGACAAAACAGTACTTTTGGAGGCAAAATATATTCTTCTTATATAGAAAAGTTATTTATTTGTATTCTACTTTGCAAACCTAATTGATGGTGTTTGAAAGAATTTTAATTTATTCTCCAATAAATATTTTTTCCCACTTACAGACGTTTTACATATATGGTAATGCGAATGACAACTTCAGATCATATACATGTAACACCAATGACAAACATTTTATTAAGCTCATAAAATATATTTCCCTTCTGAAAAATTCACAGGCCATGTATGAATGTTGGAGTTTATCACCTAAGTGAAGTAAAATAAGTTTAACTTAGTTTGTTTAAATCTCTCTACAAATAGTTATCCTTTTATGGTAACACCAATGACTAGTGAAGTAATACCAGTGACAAGAGATTTTGATTAATACATTTTATCTACTAGTTGTTTAATGAAGAATGTGGGATTCAAAACATTATATCCGTCACAATTGAGACCCTTTTACCCTACCAACATTATTTTTTTTTAAAACCAATGATAAACCAACACTGTATTTCTTTCAGCTTTTACCATGCATTTGTATACAGTATACGTGTGGGGCTTAATTATTTGGGTTCCAGTATCTACATAGTCCTAGGCTTTAGTAGTGCATTACACTCATACACTATTTACCATGGTATTCTGTTACTTGTAGCAGTGCATTGATGCCAAGGGCCAACCTGAACTAAAAAGTGATCAACACCTAACTTCATGCTGTACCATCCAAGGCACAAAATGGAGAGGCAATGCAGTCTACAAATTTCACATGGCGGAAATTGTGCATTATTGGAATGACAATTGCAAAATTGTTGAAACAGTGCTCTCAAATGGAACCTCTTATGCAGATATATGATCAAAGGATCAACAAGATCATTCAAGAATTTAGGTGCTCTGGACATGATGCCAGCTGTCTTCATAGTAAACTGTTGGAAAATGATGCCACCAAAGTTTGAAATCCACACCACCTGGAAGGACAAGCTACACCTCAATATGCTCAAGCTCCTCCTATGGATTCTATGTGGATATCTATGTTGAACGGCAAATATAATTTTCTCCAACAGGTACTGCCAAGGAACATCATATAGAGTAGTCAGCATCTGTCATTTATCTACTGTGTTAAGTAAGATGAGGCAATGTATTAGCTTCTTATGTAACATTAATTTTTCTATCATTAATGTTGTAAATCTGGTCATGAGACCAGCAAATGATTTATCATATATTGCACAATGTACATCCTCTATAGTCATCAACTCTGTATAATTCAGCTCAATTTTTATGAGGTCAGCACTTAATTGCTTTTGTAAAATGTATTTTAGTTACTGAGCTTAGTGTTGATGTACTTGTAATGTCTCCATAATCTGCTTACTAATGTCAATGAGTTCAGCATTGAAACCGGCCTGCATAGTCTTTGAGCTACATGTAAGATGATGGCTACTCATTTAAAATGTATGTTTAAATCTGCCAGCATAGACTTGAATTAAGATACATAGTTCAGCGGATAGCTGCTCATGTAAATTGTAGGTTAAAATCTGCTTGCATAGTCTTGAGTTAAGATACATAGTTCAGCGGATAGCTGCTCATGTAAATTGTATGTCAAAATCTGCTTGCATAGTCTTGAATTAAGTTACATGAGTTCAGAGGATTGCTACTCATGTAAATTGTATGTTAAAATCTGCTTGCATAGTCGAGAGTTAAGATACATGAGTTCAGCGGATAGCTGCTCATGTAAATTGTATGATGAAATCTGGCTTGCATAGTCTTGAGTTAAGATACATGAGTTCAGCGAATTGCTGCTGCTCATGTAAACTGTGTGTTAAAATCTGCTTGCATAGTCTCAGGTTAAGATACATGAGTTCAGCGGATAGCTGCTCATGTAAATTGTATGTTAAAAATTCTGCCTGCATTGTCTTGAGGTTAGATTAAGACCTTCATAATTGGCTTCCCTTGGTACACAATTGAACAGCTAACAGGTGAATGTTAATGTCTTTGTTGCATCAGATTTTGTTATTTATCAAGAACACCTAGTCTTAAAAGTATGTGATATCATATGAACGTCAACTTCAATGTTGTTATATAAAATGCTGTAAATTTCTGTATTTTACTGTTTTTATAAAAATGTTTTCTTTTGATTTTCTCCTTGTTTGGCGTCAACCCCTCACTGCGTGACACTGCGTGAGGGCTTGTGGCGCAATTGTTTGGACGCCTCCAAGGATTTACTCATTTATGTTATATTTTATGCATATTTACATGTACTCTGATATGTTCACTGCATGTAAATTTCTAGTCAGTCTCAGGGGGATCACACTTGTACCTTTCACCTATGTACACGTAACCTGTATTGTTTAATATTAAGTGATCCCCCTTAATGATTTGTTTTACCTTTTACTTTATGTCATTGAATTAAATGACATATTCGACAAAACTGCATATCTGTGTTTGGTTATTTTTCACTGCACTATCAGGCTGATATTTCTCATAGGAGGCATAAAGTAAAATAAGTTTAACTTAGTTTGTTTAAATCTCTCTACAAATAGTTACCTTTTTATGGTAACACCAATGACTAGTGAAGTAACACCAGTGACAAGAGATTTTGATTAATACATTTTATCTACTAGTTCTTTAATGAAGAATGTGGGATTCAAAACATTATATCCGTCACAATTGAGACCCTTTTACCCTACCAACATTTTTTCTTCAAACCAATGATAAACCAACACTGTATTTCTTTCAGCTTTTACCATGCATTTGTATACAGTATACGTGTGGGGCTTAATTGAAGAAAAGTCCCAGAAACTTATTTGATTTTTGTATGTTAGCCATGCAGTGTATTCTGTCTTTCACATGAAGTTTCATGTTCTATTATGTTTAATTGCTAATTGTTAAGTGCTAAGTCATTGGTATTACAAATTTCGATCATTGGTGTTACAGTTGGGTCAGTGGACTAACCAACCAAAAAACTTCATATTTTTTACTTTTAATAAGTTTAAATGTAAGAAATAACTTTATATTACCCAATTTCACACCTTGAAAAAAATCATAAACTATGTTATTTTGATTTATACACACATGGCACCACATTTACAGCATAGCTTAGCATGTGTCTTTTAATTTTTGTCTCATGTCACTGTCATTGAAAACTTAATTTTCATCACTGGACAAGGATACTTTTGGACTTATTAGTAAACTTGAATAATCCTAGTAAATTTTTATCATAGCTTGCATTCATGAGTTTTTCACTTTATTCTATACAACAAAATTTTATAAGGTAACACCAATGACAGAAAATCACAGTTTGATAATTTTTACGAGAACATTCTGAAAAATATAGCTTCCCTACTCTTTGCTAAATGTTGTTTTCCCTATATATTGTGCATCTGTATCAATTAGGATACAAAAAAGAAACGGAAATATTTAATTGTATCTTCAATTTTCATATGAATCATTTAGCTGCTTTTTTATATTGACCCATATATTTATTTAAAGACGATACTTAAACCATGTCGGTAGTGGATAGTGTACTCAGACATACCTACTTTAATTTGTATGTTTATGCTTGAGTAATCTTATCTGTCAGGATTAATAAATTCCTAATTGTTAGCATATAGGCGTATATATATATATATATATATATATATATATATATATATATATATATATATATATATATATATATATATATATATATATATATAAATGGTGAAAATTTACGGGTCATGGAAATATCTTAAGCTTTTTTTAACCTCTTTAAAAAACTTAATGTTCTAATATGATACTGTATATTTTATATTTTAAAATTTCTATTGTTTTAATAATGTGTGAAAGCACGTGACATTTGTACATTAACAATTACGTCACATGACGTAACCTATGTACATTTTACAACTGCCAAGAAAAAACTGAACAGTGCTGAAAGTTAATGAAAAATGTTACGTTTATATTTTTTCAATGTTTATCCATTTAATCAAGGCGAGTAAACTTTTTGTTGAACATTTATATATATATATATATATATATATATATATATATATATATATATATATATATATATATATATATATATATATATATATATATATATATATATATATATATATATATTATCTGAAAATGCCCAGGCGTGAAATATCTTAAGCTTTTTTTAATGTCAAAATCTTAATGTTCTATTACAAATTTAATAGAAGTCAGGCTGATCAACTTTAAAAATGTTTCGGTATGCTTTAAAATCTGTTTATTTGTAGATATTCATGTAAATTAAAACTGTCATATTAATTTCTTTTTATTGAAGTATAACAAAATGCGAAAATATCTATAAGCACTTAGAGAAAATATGCAAAGTAAATAAATAAAGATAAGATTATAAAAAAAATGTAAGATTGGAAAGAATGTACTTCCGTCAAAATTTTTAAAGCGAAACGAAATACAAACTTTAATGAGATACGCTCACATGCCAAACAAAATGTGTTTGTGAAACACTAATGATTTTGTATGCCAGCTTATGGCAAAGGTTGAATCCTCTCAAATGCAAGTCAAACTCCAAAGGTCAATTGTTATTTGAATTTAAATAAAATACAACATGCATATTATCTCTCATGCAATCATGAAGCATTATATTTTTTTGGCTCAGAAAAGCCATATTTAGCATTAAGACTCAATTTCTTTTTCAATTAGCCCCGTGGGGATCCGGGTTAGAATAGGTCCCCAGTACCCCCTTGCTTGTCGTAAAAGGCGACTAAATGGGGCGGTCCTTCGGATGAGACCGTATAAACCGAGGCCCCGTGTCACAGGAGGTGTGGCATGATAAAGATTCGTCCCTGCTCAAAGGCCATAAATGCCGAGCAAAGGCCTAAATTTGCAGCCCTTCACCGGCAATGGTGACGTCTCCATGTCAGTGAAATATTCTCAAGAGGGACGTTAAACAGTATACAATCAATCATCAATCTTTTTCAATTACAGTTATTTTGATCCTCATGCAGCAAAAAAGGTGTGAAATAAACTAGTACAGTACGTGATTAAACAACTTGTGGATATGTACCTTACATTTGTATAAGGACACTCTATACAATTCCAGATAGAAGTACCTGTGTACCTATGTGTTCCCCGTGTGACGAACGGAGTGGATATCTAATCTTATCGGTTTTTCTGCAGACTACACTTAATTTCCAGTAATTTTCCTATAAAAGGACAGAGCAAAGCAAGGTTAAATTAAAATGTTGAAATTATAACAAATTACAAAGAGAGATAATATTTCTATACATATACTTACAAGATGCACAGAAGTTACCTCTAATGTAATGCATCATACAACGAATTTTATTCTTTATGAGAGAGGAACAATCATTAATGGTACTTGCAATGATGTCGAGGTTTTGTGTTCACCTGGGACTTTATATGGCAATTTCCTAGTCTTTCTGTATTTTTAGCTCTCGGGAAATGGGTGTGATATATATGATGCTGACAGACGCCTAATTTGTGGAAACTTTATATCAATGACAATGAATGTTACATTGTTTTGCTGAGCTTACAACTGAATCGTATTGCACTGTGACAAAAGTTTGATATGAGTGCTTTTAGTGTGGTTAAAATCTCACGAGAAACTTAATTTCCAGCGCAGGCCTAATTAGTATCAGTTGAAATATGCCCCTTGAAAGAATTAATTCTACAAATGCGATAGCATTTCCTAAATCATCAATACATTGTAGTACACTGCGTTTCTGAACACAGTCTGGAACAAACGAAAGCTAGCAGAATTTTGAGATCTTTAATTTTTAGTACTCTCTCACCCTCTACCAAAGCAAAAATATGTTAATTAGCTTTATGAAGTTTTTTTGACATACCAATCATGTTCAGTTTCCGAATCTTGCAGTTTTTTTTTCATTCCCCTTCCTATACATGTATGAAAATAAATGACGTCACTTCCGTAACTATTGTCTTTCGGTGAAGACACATCGGCTAACTGTTGTCAGATTTCGGACAAGACGTTTACTGTTGTCTTTCAGTCAAGCCATATCGGGTACCGTTGTCTTGCGGTCGAGACACATCAGTTAACTGTTGTCTTTCGGACATCGCTAAATTGTTGTCTTTGGTCAAGAAGTTTGTTTGTTCTGCACACAGAGTCGTGGATTGGATAACATTGAAACCGGTTGTCAGTAACACGAAAATAACTTTTATTTTGTAAATTACAGTAGCAAGTTTAAGTGATAAGGAAGAATTGAAAAGTGGTGTGATATTTTTCATACATGATTTAATTTAATTACAAATATAAACGAAGTATAAAAATTACAATAATAAATTTAACAAAAATATATTTGGACACATTAGATACAACACTGAATAAAAATTTTTTACTGTAGTTACAACCTCGAATAATAATTACATGACACTGAAGATAGGGCTACAGGCGGAGTCTCAGTCACAGACATAACTACACAGTCTGCAGTAAAATGACAATAACCGTCTAGTTTCCAAAGGCCTCGTTAACCATGTCATGTTTGCTTGCGTCGTCTTCTGCAATGAATTGGGCCCAGGCGTCCACTATATGTTGTACAGTTGGTTGACCCTTTTTAGCCTTGAACAGCTGGAAAGCCTTGCCGACTTGGACCGAATCCTCTTGACCAAAAACTTTAAACCCGAAGGCGAATTCCTGCTCTTCGATAGGCCGATCTTTGTTTTCTGCTACAAAGGAGGCGATGTCGTCAAAACACCTCACCATTTCTTGATAGAATGCCCCTTTGTCTTTTTGAAATGATTCTCCTAGGGCGTCCTGGAATTCTTCGAGTGTTAAAGTTACACCGGGACCTTTGCGAAAGATGTACGTATTCCACCATTTTGTGTTGTCAAATCCGCCATTGTCTTTCACTTTGTCGCCGAGCATTTTCTGGATTTCTTCGAACTTTTTGGCCGAAATCTCCATGTCTTCGGTGGTAAGTTTATTGTCATGGTTGGCGTCTAAGGATTTGAACCATATCGCCCATTTTGATTTCAGATAATCCATTTCTACTGGAAAATACAAAACACAAATAATTATAGTATAAGGTAAGAACTAATATACTAAGTCATTGTAAATGTGCATCGTGAATTAACATTTTACGCGATCGGGTATTTCTATTGCTGCTAAGTTTCTATACCAGCAAAATGGAATTCATCATACGATTGGAAGAGAAAAAGGGGAGATGGGTATACTTTCTGCAAACTTGAGGATTACTCAAAATGAACAAAATTTGAAAGGCACTGTTTTATGATGTATATAAAATACAATGTACTCTATTTATGATAAAAAGGACAGAACATGTGTTTAAATCTGTCCCTCTCCAGAATATTTCACTGATATGGAGACGTCACCATTGCCGGTGAAGGGCTGCAAATTTAGGCCTATGCTCGGCACTTACGGCCTTTGAGCAGGGAGGGATCTTTATCGTGCCACACCTGCTGTGACACGGGGCCTCGGTTTATACGGTCTCATCCGAAGGACCGCCCCCATTTAGTCGCCTTTTACGACAAGCAAGGGGGTACTGGGGACCTATTCTAACCTGGATCCCCACGGGCCTATTATCAATTTGAAATAGATAGAATACGAACTCAGCTTTCTTGCAAAAAAGAGCAAATTCTTAGCTAGAATCTTGTTTGAGGTAATTGGACTCACATTGTAACAAATCTTAACTTGAGTAACTTTTGTCTCGTCTGAAAATTTAAACTTTCACAGTCCTAATATTAAAAAGAATATTGACCAAAAGAACATTTCAAGAATTATTTTGAGTCGAGTCACGTGACCTCGACCTTTAAAAAACAACCTTGGCTACGTATCATGTCAGATATCGTGGGAAAAATCAACCTGTGTGTCAATTTTAGTCTGATACATGTGTAGCCTGATGCTGCTTCAATGCAGATATTTGAACTTCAGAATTTTGCACTTTGAGATCTTCGATATTCTGCACCCTGTAACCTTGACCTTGTTGACTACTTGACCTTGTCGGCTACTACTGACCTTTCTTTACAAGGAACCTTTTGTGTCAAAAATGTGTTTCTTCGTGTGGCAAGTATTCTTTACTCTTGAAAATCTTGACCTTGGTCTTGCTCAAATAAAAAGGGTTAGGGTCAGAAACTTACCCTCGCTTAACAATCAATCGAGCTCTGTGACTCTGAACTTGTACTGAAAGGTTAACTCCAGGTTCTTTTATACGGCAAATTGTTTTTATGAGTTAAGAACATTAATTTAGCAATTACGAGTACATTAATCGATACATTATCATTATTTTTATTCTACATTCTTCACATAGCAACATATATCATTACCAGATGGCAAGTTCAGGTTATCGACTGAAAAGCTCCGACTTGTTTTATATAATTATATCCAGGAGCCTAAACAGATGTTTTCTTGTAAAACATTAAGAGGTGCTGCTTCAGTTATACTGGCAGACTGCTCTTGTAAAATAATATGTAATTTATGAATGGCGGGATGAATGCCGTGTCAGTAAGAATGAAGTGAAAATCGTGGTATTTAAAATATCTAGGTCGGGGATTTATCTGTAAGATCGGTGTTATCAAATTCCCGTCCTTTGGCGGAATTTAATTTTTTCATACGGTCAATAAAGTCTTAATTTGGTTTTTTTGTTATTGTTAAGTATAACTTCCCCTCCTCTCTTGTACGTACGTGCAAATAAACCTGATATATATACACACATGCAAATGCACCTCCTTTCAGAAACACTATGTATATAACTATGTACATGCACTTAAGTTTTCAATTACAACCTAAACTGTCACAGTCAATGCGATATGACAATTATTTTTTTTTTAATTAATTATATGTACGTCACTTCAACAGACACTTTAACAAAGGCTTTTTCTCTCTTCGCGATAAAAATATTCCGGTCTCGTAAAATATGCCAAATTTTCATTTAAAATATATCAAATTTCCAGCGTAAAGTTGGAAATCTTTTTATCGCATGTTGATTTTACGTACATAAATGAGACTTACCTCGATATAGAGAATCCTGGTGCAGCTCGCAGTCGACTTGCCCAATGAAAAAATTCCAATATCGGTATGTTATATGCCTTGAATAGTTTTTATTTCTGATTCAGCGGAAAATCCAGCCAGCACGCTACAACCAAGCTGGTTCGTGTTAAAAAAAATAACTGTTGTGGTATCGCTTTCTTTTTGTGAAAATGACTGGTCTTCAGTTCTCGTCATGTGCTTAAGCTAGTGTAAACTGCATCAACAATAATTGTGTGTCCTGCTTTCAGTGAAGTCATTAGCGTTTTGTACTTAAATGCTTCTATTACATTTTGATAAATGTTTTATTGTATAATATGGAACGCCGTCACTGCCTTATAGCAGAACACTACTTTTGCATTGTGTTAACCTTCCATTACATTATGTCAACTCTTTATGACATTAACCCACACTACTATTGCATTGTGTCAACCTTCCATTACATTATGTCAACTCTTTATTACATTAACCCAAACTACTATTGCATTGTGTCAACCTTCCATTACATTATGTCTACTCTTTATGACATTAACCCACACTATTATTGCATCGTGTTAACTTTCCTTTACATTATGTCAACTCTTTATGACATTTACACTTACTACAATTATATTTCGTCAACTTGCATTTCGTTATGTTTACTTTTCATGAGATCTTAGTTTTTATTAACTGATGTGAAAAGCTCATGCCATACTGTGCGCACTCTTCTACATTATGTCGATTCACTATTACGTTATGCGAACACGGGTATCCTCGGCCTTTATATGAGCATAACGTATTTTCCGCGTTCCGCAAGCACTAAAAATGGCAGGAGAAAAAAACTGTCGTAGAAGAGATTCTCAGCGATTTGGGAATGACATATTTAAATGAAAACTTTAAGCGACAAATGATTGACGTGGAAAGCCTTAACACTGCGACTGTGAATTAAAGTCACGTCGAAATTCAGTGGTGTTTACTTTAATCTCATAATTAAATAAATCAGATATTATCACAGGCACCTGAAGTATGGATAATACCCCCCCCCCTTTTTTTTTAACGAAAAAAAAATGTTATAGTGTATAATACCTCAAAAATATAAAATTCCCTTGTCAAAAACATCTATATTTTGTTATATGCAAGCAGATTGTACTTTTTCTCACGTTTAAAGAATGGCCCTATTCGGTATAATAAAAATACATTCTTTAAACGTGAGAAAAAGTACAATCTGCTTGCATATAACGACATATATATGTGTTTGACGGGGAAATTTTATATTTTTGAGGTATTATACACTCTTACATTTTTTTTCATTAAAAAAGGGGGGGGGTATTATCCATACTTCAGGTGCCTGTGATATTATGAGTCGCGCAGCAATCATTTTGATTCTTTTTTTTTTTAAAAAGTCTTAAACTTTGAAGGACATTGCATTAGTTTGACAATAAGCTTAGCTGAATTAAGTTGAAAACTTTTTTCTATAAAACTATAAAGCCTGAGAGATTCTCCGCTTTCCGCCCTTGGTCTCCAACCATATACCGCCCCCCCCCCCTTGTTTCAAGATTCCCATATCTGCCACTAATATGTGCCCATGCATGCTTACTGAGGCATATTCAATTGATTTAGATGAGCGACTGGTGGATTTTTGTAATAGAATTCTGGCCCTGGAATGATTAAAAAAAATTACTAACTCCAGTGACGTAGAATCTTTTTTGAAAGAGGAGGTCAGCCAGAAAAAAAAAATCATTTACCCGAAAAAACTTGACAAGCCAAGAAAAAAAAAGTCCAAGCCCGAAAATCCTATTTCGGAGAGAGGGGTCCAACTTCGATCAGTCCTATTTTTTCCTAGATATATTACAATACCCTTAGTGGATTATACAGTTTCAATGAACATTATACTTTCTATAGTAATGCTATGTCTGGGAAAAGAGGGGGGGGGTTGATATTATGTGCCTGTAATTTGTCCTAATCAATCAGGACCCCCCCCCCCTTCTTACCAGTCATTAAATCACGGTCGTCAAACATTCATTATATACTCGATATACAGCTTTTAGATAATGTAAATGTTTTTTAACATCAGGTAATGAACTTTTGGAATCAACATGATAAAGAGTTAACACAATATAAAGATATTTTAAAATCACGTAAGAAAGAGTTGACATAACGTAATTATATATCCACATCACGGAATGGAGTTTTGACATAATGTAATAAAGTATTGATATAATATAAAGATATGTTCACATTATGTTATACACTTTTTACACCACATAATAAAGCACTGACATAAAGGTAAGATGTGTTCACCTCATATCATGATGCCCTCGTCGTAAAATGAAGATAAATCCATATCATGTAATAATGCTTTGATATAATAGAAATATACACTCTCAAAAAGGAATGGGCTTTTGACTTCGTGTAATGATAAGTTTAATTATAAAACACAATTTACTTGACGTAATGCAGTTTTATGGAACGCCGTGGCTGCCTTATGTTAGATGATTATATTATATGTTGTGGATTTGTAATTATATGCTGTGGTTCTTTTATTATATGCTGTGGGTTTATAATTATATGCTGTGGATCTATTATTATATGCTGTGGGTCTATAATTATATGCTGTGGTTTTGTAATTATATGCTGTGGATCTATTATTATATGCTGTGGGTCTATAATTATATGCTGTGGTTTTATAATTATATGCTGTGGGTCTATAATTATATGCTGTGGGTCCATTATTATATACTGTGGATCTATTATTATATGCTGTGGTTTCATTATTATATGCTGTGGTTTCATTATTATATGCTGTGGGTTCATAATTATGTGGGTTCATAATTATATGCTGTGGGTTCATAATTATATGCTGTGGATCTATTATTATATGCTGTGGTTTCATTATTATATGCTGTGGGTTCATAATTATATGCTGTGGGTGTATTGTTTCTTATTCTGTCGGTTTATTAGAAACTGGCTATTCGAATCTCAATCTGATTAAAATCAGATCTTTGTTACGCTCCGAAATTCTGATAGTCGCTTCCTTGCGACATATAAAAAAATCGGGGAGCGGATGGAAGATCTAATTTTAATTAGATTGTTCGAATCTGGACTTCTGGTTTTTTTAGTTTACTTGCTCAAAAAATGGTGGCAACTGCACCAGGCCTAACCGTAATAGGAATGAGAGAGTGGAGTGCTGAATAGGAAGGCATTACCTGATTGGTTTAAATGAGGTACATGTATGTTATGTTTTTTTTTAAAGTAAAAATATTAATTTTTGAAATAAATGAGTGAATGTATGAATATTACAGAAATATAGAAATACCAGGGGAGACTATAAGAGCGGAGGTTGATTTTTTTTTTGGCAGAGTGTTATTTACTGGCGGTTACTAAAGTTAATTTTTAATTTCTTAAACAACTGCAGTTTTGACCTATAACCGCCATGGGACCCTATATATATTTGGGAGGGGGGGGTGGTGCAATGGGGTATAAGCGCCTGGAATAAAGTTTCAAACGATTCCAAGGAATTGTTTGAAATTAAATTAGTATAGTAGTGAGAGGACAAAAGGTTTGTATAGAGTTCTGTGGGAAAATAATTGGTACTCTTTTCCTTATAGAGATCTTAATTTTAAATTGTTAAGTGAATTTAAGGTCAAGAAAAATGATATTTTGCTCTTTATTTGACGACACACCGAGAGGAAATATACATGTATATATAAAAAAGAAAAAGGATTTGTTTTTGGTGTGTTGAGATTTGAGAGGAGTTATGTCCTTTGTTAAAAGGGGGGGGGGGGTTAGTGAGAAGAATGTAGATATTCGCATAGGCATCGGAACCGGGGGGGGGGGCTATGGGGGTTTGGCCCCCCAACTTTTTTTCCAAACATATACTTAGTCTAGACATTGAACATTGTTTCTTAGGTTAAAAAAAAATCCCCCCAAAATATAGGGTCCATGGCGTTTATAGGTCAAAATTGCAGTTGATAAAAATTAACTTATAGGTATCGGCAGTAAATAACACTCTACCCCCCCCCCCAAAAAAATCAATCCCCACTCCTACAATCTCCCCTGGTATTTCTATATTTCTGTTATATTCCTACATTCCATAAAAAAATCAACCCCCGCTCTTACAATCCCCCTGGTATTTCTATATTTCTGTAATATTCATACATTCCCTCATTTATTTCAAACATTAATATTTTTACTTTTAAAAAAATAAAAAAAAAACCATTACATACATGTTCCTCATTTAAACCAATCAGGTAATGCCTTCCTATTCAGCACTCCACTCTCTCATTCCTATTACGGTTAGCCGCCATTTTTTGAGCAAGTAAACTAAAAAAACTAGAAGTCCAGATTTGAATAGCTAGTTTCTAATACAGAATATGTAACAATACAACCACAGAATATAATTATGAACCCACAGCATATAATAACGAAACCACAGCATATAATAATAGATCCACAGCATATAATTATAGACCCACAGCATATAATTATAAACCCACAGCATATAATTATAAACCCACAGCATATAATTATAAAACCACAGCATATAACTATAAAACCACAGCATATAATATTGGACCCACAGCATATAATAATAGATCCACAGCATATAATAATAGACCCACAGCATATAATTATGGAACCACAGCATACGAGGGTCGTTAGAAAAGTTCGCGGACACATTGAATTACGGAAATTTCTATTGTGTACTGTGAAGTATGACCTATGTCTGAATAAATTCCTACATTTTGTTTATTGGTATGTAAAAAAATCAGGTCCATATAATAACATCTTGAAAATTTACAACGATTTTTACTATGAGGTTATGGGATTCACGGAGCAATCACTTGACGTAAGGAGATGTAACGACCAGATTTCAACCCGTTAACCTTTGTCGCAGTTCTATAAATCTTTAGATTTTTCTGATCTTTTTTCTACTTTTAAATTGAATATCTATATCAAGACATGTTACTTTTCTTCTACAATGTCTTTTGTACTGATTCGGATATTATTGAGATCTTAAAAAAAAGTTTATGCAGTTAATCAGTTAATCGATCAGGTATGGAAACTATGCAAAACCATATAGGCGCAACGCAATGTCCATGCGATACGGGGGTACTGAAGTATCGCTGTAGTTAATCTTTCAAAATGTCAATCCTTCCATTCTTATGAAGCTACAACCATT